AGAAGGATATTTTCAACACTGAAGAATACAGGATGTGGACTTGTTTAAAAATTGGAATTTTCCCTAAAACAACAGGTGGTTCTTTTTCTCATTGTACATAAAAATGTATGCCAGTTCGGCTGAAAAAATGTAGCATGAAAAAATTGAAAATGTCTGTGACAGTGACGGGGACAGAATGTCATGTGTTTCGGTTAATCTTGGCATAGCACCACTCCTGTGAAATAGATGACCATTCCCTAACCAGGAAGCTTTCTGATATGAAGGATATATATAGTAACGGCAGGGATCGGTACCTGTGTGGTGATAAGAAATATACATAAACACCCTAACTACAGTCATGAATAGGGAATAAAATGGGGTTTTTTTTCATGCAAGCCGATACTGCGATCACCCATTAATCTCACGTTCTCCTTTATGTAGTTCAGGCCCTTCTTGGTGTTACTATGTAGCTGTGTTGAAAGGTGTGTCCTGGTGGTAATAATGTGTCATGTTAAACAACTTGTGAAGGTAAATGAGAATCGCACCAAAGTGTCTTTTGATATGAAGCGTATCAGCACAAGTCTATTATCGTACAAAACTCTCCGCTTCAGCCAAGTATCTGCTATGGTGACATGAAAGCAAGGTCTCAGATTTAGCATTTACACAAATAATATTTCCCATTTAAAAGCAATTTGATGTTTGAGATCATCTTGAAATTGTTAGGGCACCTAATGCAATACGAATGTAACGACATTACCTTATTGATTTTGACAGTAACTTTCTTACAAACAACTCAGTTTATGTTCTTCCTACATTGTGTTTGAAATTACTTTACAGATATTGTTTTTGTACGTGGTCCTCATTTTAAAACACCATGTAGAAGTTCAAATTCCCAGGCATCAAATTGTGAATAAAGCCTCAAATTCTGATAAAAATGTTATGTACATCTCGGAAATATAGAATGTGAAACAACATCTGATGTACAACAGTAAAACATGAGATACAACATATGATATAGAAGAGTAAAGCATGTTATACAACATGTAATTTTCAACAATGTAGAATGTGAAACAGCTTGTTATGATACAACCATTATGTAACAACAATGTATCTATTTAACCGTAGTCAGTTAACATTCCACACTGAAATATGTTTACAATGTTTTTTATTGGTTTGAAATGAAGTTCTGATACATACAACCCCTGTTGTATATACTACTACAAGCAGTAACTATTGTCCAATTAGACCTGTTATTTCATGTCTGACCTGCTGTGTGTCTCTCCATCCCAACACAGCTGCTGCATGATTCTAGGATGAGGCGACAGTGACTGAACATTAGTCCTGTATTACCATTACAATTACATCATTTATATACACTTAATGTGGCTGCCAGAGACTGCTGTGTATTTCATTTTATGACCACATGCAAACTCAATAGAGCTACAGTCACTGTTTTAATACTAAAATTAAAGCTGCTGAAATGTTTTATGGTAGACATGTGGAGGACAGTTCTAGGTTTTACACATCAGTTACAAAATTGAAGTTTGGTGTAATTCCCTGTTTGACGCATGGTTTTCACAGGGAATTGACTTGCCTGTACATGTGTTTGTGACAGGTGCCATCATTAGGGCGTGATACACTCACCTTTTTAGAACACTTTGAAAAAGAGATATTGATGTTCATTATACAGTAGGAATTATACAAAGGACAGGACTGATTCAGCAGAGATTTCTTGATTATGAAAGGGCATCTATTTATTTATATGTATATGTAGGCATTTAATCACTTTGATAGAATCTTTGCATTAATGTTGGTACCACACCCCCACCCACTTAATACTACTTGCATTTTCAACTATAGTCTGTTTGATTTGATTTGAGACTGATGAATTGCTCACTAATACAAAATCTAATAAATGCAAGAAAACCAAATTTTGCAGTCCCATGAAACTCTGTTGATTTGTCTCATAATTTTAGACACCCGAATAAAAAAGTTATTTAACAAACAATCATTATTTTGTTGTCATTTTTCGATATATATTTTTTCACGGTGGACCACTTGCTGGTAGAACAGCCAGGTAATGTTGCAATTATTAGATTTTATGTTAGTGAGCAATTCTTCCGTCTCAAATGAAATCAAATGGACTGTAAGTCTGTCCTTCTATGGTTCACTTTGTTATTGGAAGTGTCACCATCCGTGCCATTTTTTCAAATCCACCTTCATACAATATCAATTTGATGTCTTGTCTTGATTCACCATGGCATGCCAGTAGTCCAAGTGTTTACACGGCTTCCAGCATAGCTTAGAGTAATCAGAATCAGATCCATGATAACAGCATGTAGGTATACATCACGTCCATTACTGACGTACACTCTGCCCTGGAACAGGTAGTTTCACCTGTAGAGCACAGCTCAGATCAAGATGTCTCTGTCCCCAAGTATGGAGGGATCCAGATTGCCATTAGGTGTACTGATAAGATGTTAGTCGTAAATTGAGGTGTTCTATCAGTTATTATAAACAAGGTTAGATCACACGTTTGCGGCCTCTGGCCGTTGATTCACCTGCTTGTGAGGACATTGGGTGGAGTTATGTGATGTTGTCCTAGCCTGGAGGGATTGGTCTTGTACAGGCTCTGTTCAGATGGCTGCAGTACACCGGAGGCAGGTGTTGAGGTACTTGTGTAGGGCTGCAGTACACTAGAGGAAGGTTTTCAGGTGCTTGTGTAGGGCTGCAGGACACTGGAGGAAGGTTTGCAGGTGCTCATGTACACTAGAGGAAGGTTTGCAGGTGCTCATGTACACTAGAGGAAGGTTTGCAGGTGCTTGTACTCTAGAAGAAGGTTTGCAGGTGCTTGTACACTAGAGGAAGGTTTGCAGGTGCTTGTACACTAGGGGAGATTTGCAGGTGCTTGTACACTGGAGGAAGGTTTGCAGGTGCTTGTACACTAGAGGAAGGTTTGCAGGTGCTCATGTAGGGCTGCAGTAGTGGAGGCAGGTGTTGAGGTGCTTGTGTAGGGCTGCAGTACACTGGAGGAAGGTTTGCAGGTGCTTATACACTGGAAGAAGGTTTGCAGGTGCTTGTGTAGGGCTGCAGTACACTTGGAGGAAGGTTTGCAGGTGCTTGTACACTGGAGGAAGGGGTAGAGGTGCAGGTGTAAGGAGTCACTGCCCTTTTGCTCACTATTGATGTGAGTTTATTGAACAGTTTTGACAGCATTGTGTGACTGTAAGTTTCCAGATTGTTGGCTTCATCACAAGCAATAAACTGAATGAAAGTGTTGTATACCAGGTTGTATTCAGGCAATATCCAGTGATGTCAGAAACATGTTGTACACATCATACACTGATGGGAATCAAACCCAGGCTGTCTGGGCACCATCTCCTAATGAATAGATGGCCACAACAATCTGGACATGTTGCTTCTCTACTTTGGAACTTTAAGCCACTTACTGTTGTACTTTAGCCTATATATCAGCCAGAGGATGTGTACAGGAGTTGTAGTGGGATGTAGTCGAATAGGGAAACAGATGGCTTGTTCGTTTTATAGGTTCTTGTTGCAGTAAGGAAAGGATAGTCAAGGAAACTGATTGCCAGTATCAGGCTTAACTGTTGATTCACTGTGTCATCCCTCAGTGGGCTGATAGCGAGAACATACCTCATACATTTAATCAGTTCAGAATATGTTTAGAATTATTTCTCACCATCTCTCTATATAATGTTCACTTAAATAGTTCTGATAACTCCTTTTAGATTATAGAGAACACCGGTTTCTTTCATATTGCTACAGTATATCATTGTATGATAGATAAACTTAGTAATGTGAAAGTGTGTATGAATTCCAGTGTTCTTAAGTAAATTTAGTAGTATACATTGTCTATAACCCTTGCTAATGTTATTTTGTGACAATTTTTTACTTACTATGACCTTTTCTTTGCTGGTGTAATTTGTTGTAACAATCATAAACAATTTTAGATGCCACTATTCCCCCAAATATGTTCCACCTAATTTCAATATTTATATAACTGAACCTTGACATGCCACGTCAGTCAAATGCAACATGACCATCCACAAGCCCCTCTCAAATCATATATTGCTTTTGCTGAAATCATTTTGTGTGTCTTCTTTCTGTAGCATTCAATATATAAACACAGCTAAGTGTCAGAAAAACATCAAATATTGACACTGGAGACAAAGACTTGATTGTTCTTGGTCCAGTTGTTAGCAAGACCAAACAAGATGATCAATAGCATCAGCATAAAGGTTTCGTTTTTTGTTCCACCCCCTCCTGAAGACTGTTGTGTTATTTATGGGAATGTAATCATATCAAGGGGATTAATAATTCATGGCATGATTAATGCGTGTATGCTACCATTCATTACCTAGTGGCTGTGTTGTGAAGATATACAGTGCAATAGTTGTCCGGATTACGTGGTTAGGTGTAGATAAAATTGACGTAGTATTTCAGATTTTCTCATGCATAATATATAAAGAGTGTTATTGTTCTTTTTATCAAATTTATTTCAAGAGTTTCTAGTATTGACCTCTGCATATATTTGTGTGTATGAATTAATGTTTGTCATAGTTTTAATAGGATAGTTGTATCTGTTGTTGAATTTGTTACTGCTGGTGCAAAATCCAATATTATGATAACAGTATTAACATATGAAGCATGTGTAGGGTTTGTTGGGTGGACATGTTTCACTGGAGATGAAAGAGTTAATATCTATTCATAAAAGCTTGTACACAGTGTAGTAAGGACTTGTATTGTTGCCCACATTAAGTTCATTGTTGAGAGACCTGTCTGATATTGTGTTATATTGTAATACAACTTTTGTGCTGAAACAAAGCTGTTATGAATTGATGATTATCTAGGCATTGTGAGATAAGGCTGATTGCCTCCCTTGGGCGCATTCCATGGGGAGATATGTTGTCAGGTGACATCCAACTGAGCGTGACCATATAGAATGTCCATGGGAGGTGGTCACAGTTGAATGGGTATTGACATCTGGTTGTATATTGCAGATATACATATACAGTGGAAGGAGAACAACACGATGACATAACAAGCGGATACCTAATGGATCATGGGATACCACGCAGTGACAAGATGATACAAGCTGTGGATACTGTCTATATACTTTGTAGTTAACACAACATCACAGGTGAGAACATTTTCCATTTGGAAGAAATAATCTTTTTAAATATGTTTTTGTGTATTGCTTATTTGAATTTGTTTACTGTTTACCGTAATATCCCAGACAAATTAACTTTATCTAATGTTATCTTTTTTTGTAAGGTATTCTGTGCTTTTTTAACAGTCATATAGATTGCATTCATTTCTTTTAATGTTATTATTTTGAGTAGTGTTATTTTTCAAAGAGTTGACCTGACATGTATATAATCAAGCAGTCATGATCACCTGTATATGTACCTGGTGGTACAGGTGAGCATAACGATGTAATGTGGCTACTGTGACTGCAGGTGCAATGATGGTATCTGTAGACAGGGTTGTGGTGATGTAGAGGACAGTAAGATAATCTGAAGAACTTTCCTCAGGACACAAGGTTATCACTCTGCTGATACCACAGCTAACAATACAGAGAGATTACAACATGGAGATTATAACACATATCATATTTCAGGGATGAAGGTTATGGAGGATATAATACAAATGTATTATGTCTGATATGGTGACTGTTTCTGTTATGGAAACACAGTGGAGTAATAATCTCTCTTATCATGTAAATTCATACAATAATCTATATCTAATATGTAATTTTCTTTAATGCGGTAGTTTTAGAGACTGTGTATGAATATAGTGTTTAAGTGAACAATCAGTTTTTTATGTAGAGCCAAATAACTTGCAACCATGTAGGTCTCCGGAAACATAGGGACACTTTGGGACATGCCTACCTAAGCATATTAGGAAATGTCTGTCTAGAGTAGATTAAGAAAGTAAGCATTTACACTCTGTATGGCGCTTGAATATACAGTACAAGAACATCACAGTCTCATAGTTTACCCTCAAATCTCATACATAGATCTCCAAACATTCTAATGTAAGTGTTTGAAAAACCACATTTTATCAGGAAGAGGTTATTATACTTAGGCAATGAAATACTATGGTATCAGGGTTGACAAAGAGACAAAATTACAGGTCTGTAATCATGGCAATGCAGTCTCGAGATAACTGAACAGTTAGCTCTAATAGCTGACTCTCCGATAGCTCCCTATACTCTTACTTTCTCCTATGTCCCACTTACATCCACAAAATTCACAATTTTATGCAAATGTATCTTTTCACAACATTCTGACAAGATGTAAGTTCACCCTGTTACAAATACACCTATGTATGTAAATGTAGGTACAAATTGACACCTGTATGTAAACTGACACAGAGATGTAAAGTGGTACTTGGTGTCGAAGGGCCTGGGATCTCCTTATCTACATAACAAGGGGCTGGACGGGGCTGCCGCCCTCAGGGAGGTGTTCAAGGGGGTAGAAACATGTGCTCTCAGAGTTGATAACATACTTCATCTGCGGTTACCGCAAGACAACTTTGTTTGAGTTTTACAAATTATCTACCGTATATACTGTTTATATGCTGGATATTAAACATTTTGTTGTTTGTATATTTGTCATAAATATTGTTTTAGGAGGACTTTTGGGCAATGAGTCAAATATCACCCCTGACATTTCTTTCTTTATATTTTTTGTGCATCCTGTATCTTCGCACACTGACTATGAAGACGCGTGTGAAGATCCAGGGTAGAATAGGTCTTCAGCAACCTATGCTTGCCACAAAAGGTGACTATGCTTGTCGTAAGAGGCGACTAACAGGGTCGGGTGGTCAGGCTCGCTGACTTGGTTGACACATGTCATCAGTTCCCAATTGTGCAGATCGATGCTCATGCTGTTGATCGCTGGATTGTCTGGCCAAGACTCGATTATTTACAGACTGCCGCCATATAGCTGGAATAATGTTGAGTGCGGCGTAAAACTAAACTCACTCACCCACTCACTCACTGACTATGAAAGTTTGTAAAACGAGGATGTATCTGTGTCTGTTGTATCTCTGGCCTCATCAAACCAAACGACATGAAAAGGTGTTACTTGTTGTTACCTAGCCTAATGGTCGGCATGAAGGGGATAGAACAAGGACTGGTCAGTGAGTGGAGTCAGTTGGCTGTGTTTGAATGGGGTGTCTTGTGTCTGAGTGGGGTGTCCTGTGTCTGAGTGGGTGTCCTGTGTCTGAGTGGGTGTCTTGTGTCTGAGTGGGTGTCCTGTGTCTGAGTGGGTGTCCTGTGTCTGAGTGGGTGTCCTGTGTCTGAGTGGGGTGTCCTTTGTCTGAGTGGGGTGTCCTGTGTCCTGTGAAGTCTTGACCAGTGCATGCAGCCCCACTCACTTGTGTTAGTGGGGCAGTGGGGTAGCCTAGTGGTTGAAGAATTTGTTCGTCACGCCGAAGGCCGGGTTCGATTGCCCACATGGGTAGAATGTATGAAGCCCATTTCTGGTGTCCCCGCCGTGATATTGCTGGACTATTGCTAAAAGCGACAAAAGAGCATATTCAATCACTCATTTGTGTTAGTATTTCACGATATCAATGAAATAGTTATAAACATGAAGTTAAATCCTGTTTCACTAAGCAAACAAGACTGTATGGTTATAAATCAGTGTACAACAGGTACAAGCAAACCCCACAGATGGTGTGTGATGTGGAGAGTTCAGTGTAGTTAAACAGTTCGGACAGCTCATGTTACAAAATAGTGTGTCAGCCAGTTAGAGTTTCAAACCTCTGTTCAAAGGTAGGCATGGTGTATGGACTTAGATATTCAACCCTCTCCACGTCACATTCCTGAATATTTGCATATAATGTTGGTCTTAAATCACTGGCTGTGCTTATTACACTGGTCCCAGACAGCTGATACCTGACAGGCACAAGTCCATGACACTATACTATACTTACAGTAAGGTTTGGTTACATAGCAAACATGCATAAGGTCTTTATTACTAAGGGAACAAACTACTTCTTAATGGAGAATTTAGGCAAACTTTAAAATGTGACTACTGATTTGTATCCTGAAAAAATATCCGTAACATAAAATTATTGTAAATAGTTGTAATCATCAAACTTTAATGTAATAAAAATTGCTTGTTTTTGTGTGAGTGAGTTAAGATTTTAAGCCACATCGGCAATATTTCAGCCATATCTATGAAAAAGTGTTGAGCAAGCATGATGTACTGCAAACACTTCACATCAAGTTGTTTGTTAGAGTTGTGTATTGTACAAGGAAGGGAAAAAACTATCAGTTAGAATTATTCCTAGGAGAAACAAATTTTCCTAATATTTTCTCCACTCAAGCACTGATGAACAGCTGTTAACGTTCAAAGTTAGGCACTATTCAAATCTATCAGATAGAGGTTGTTTAAGTAGTGTTGGCCTCTACGCACACAACTCACTCACCCCCCCTACACAACCTCACTCACTCACTCACTCCTGATACCTCAAGATCCTGTGTGTGTGTGTGTGTGTGTGTGTGTGTGTGTGTGTGTGTTTATAGTGGTTATAGCGTTGGCTCGTCACGCCGAAGGCCTGGGTTCGATTCCCCACATGGGTACAATGTGTGAAGCCCATTTCTGGTATCCCCATCATGATACTGCTGGAATATTGCTAAAAGCGGCGTAATACTAAAGTCACTCACTCACTCACTCAAGATCCTCAAGTCTCCTTCCTGCTCAAGTCTCCTGTTCATATTCCTCATCAATGTTTGTGTGTATATGTGTGGAGGGGGAAGGGGGTAGGGGGATTTAATTATTGGTAGTTGAAGTAATTATCCGAGGTCCGCCATTCACTGTTCAGGTAATCACACGCTGCAGCCTGCCTTATCACTAGCCATTTCATTGATTCAATACCGTCTTTTTTCCTTAAGTTTATCGCATGTTTACACATTACCGCTTCAAACAAATTCTCGTGCATGTCAATGACGTCCTTGCAGGTAAATGTGCAGGTGATTGATTGTATGAGGTTGATTGCTTTACCTGTGTCAGGTGAAAACACCATCAATGAATGCTGCTATTGATGTGTAGGGAGGTATAGTTGTTTTTGAAAGAACATGTGTTATTAGTAACAGAAGCGAGTTCCTGCTGTATTTAACTGTTGGCCTTTCTTGGTGGTGGAAAGTGGGAGATAGTGTAGGGAATAATTGTAAAGAAATAGTTCCGCGTATCTTTGATGCAACACTTAAGGACAGCATTCGATGATATTGGTCTGTAATAGTATCTCAATTTACACTCGTCCTGGTGGTGTCACCAGGTGGTGTGTGTGGAAGCTGATTCCCAACAGCCTCAGTATTCCATTACCTTGTCTCTCCACCATAACCTGGACCTCCAGCTTTGTTCTGGAGTCGGGTTCTATTTGGAAATTAGATGTGGTATCAACAGAATTTGTCAAACTTTGCATTGCATTCTGTCCCAACTGCTATTAGAACATCATGCAGCAAGATTTCTGTCTCTTGTCTTATACTCAGGGAAAGGTTCACTCACTCACTCAGCGCCTGTGGTCTATTGAACTGGGTGTGTTTCTCGAGAGTTCGGTGGTTTGATCCTAGTCTGACTGACTGACTGACTGACTGTGAACATATAGCCTTTTTGACATATTTTGAACACTTCTTTAAGGTCCATGAATCTTCAGAATTAAGTGTATACATAAGTGGGTCTTTTGTTGTAAACTGTATGTATGGAAAATATTTATCTCTCAAATCATAATAAATAGGACATTTAAACATAAAATGTAATTCATCTTTAATGACATTATGCAAAAATGTAAAAATTCTCAAATTTCTAACAATACCCTCTCTTCTACCAATATTTTTCAATCTCTGTTTTTCACCTATTCTTAACAATGTTAACATACTGATAACAACAGTCTCAAAATTAGATTGGATTGATACTGTGGGATGCTTTCTTCCTTTTCTATTAAAGTTTGCTGTTTTGTCAATGTTTTACAGAGGGAAACATCATTTGTGACTGAAAGTCTGTGCAGATGTTAACTAGAGCTAATCACATAACTTGCTCTATGTTTCTACTCACTCACTCACTCACTCATCGTCAACAAATGTTTAATTTCTAATTTCTAATTCATCACGATATGGCTGAAATATTG